TGTGAATTGATTTGTTGCATCACAGAGCACAGAGGCACATGGCATACAGTTGACAAACCCCAACACAGCTAGCATAACATTAATGAGTGAATCTATTATAAGAAACTTCAACAGGCAATAGTGACAAAAGATCTTAGCATTGTTGAGGTAAAATTACTGTATTTGTCAATGGAGTCTGGTGGCTTTGACAAGAGCGATAAAACGGCTGCTTCTGGTTAAACAAAAGGGATCTTACTCTGTCTCTGCAGGGATCCTTTCCATAATGTTGTCAGACACTTATAATAACAATCTGAGCCAGTCAGTGGCCAAAACAAGAAGTTTTAGTGGATGTATTTTGACAGTGCACTATTGCCCAGAAGGATTATAATGCAGCCCTGTATCACAGCTGCCAGCTGCAACGCTCTCGCTCAATACTGGGCAAATAACAAATTCAACAAATAACTTTTAAGTCAACCACATGCACATATACTTTGTATACTTTTACTTTAAAATAGGATCCAGTTTTCCTTTAATTACAAAGGAATATTTCCTTGGAAGAAAATGTACCATGTGGCTCATTGTATGTATCACTACTCTCAATCTTAGTCTATTAGCTACTGTCCTTTATATAGGGAAATTATGTAACTAATTTAAAAGTAGACATCTTTGTAGGACACTTTACTTGTCTTCTTGTGTCCATCTTTACGTGAAATGTTCCCTATTCAGAATACAAATGGACTAGAATAGATAGCATTAAGATACTATGTAAGTTTCTGCTTGTTTTTCCATTTGCACTTGATTATGAAATGATATAATATAAATATGTTGATTTCATATAAGTATTATTTTTTTATTTAGATTTTCTTGTAAACAGGGAATGAAGACATTAGTGATTTTAGGGTTAGCTGAGCCCAACAGCGGCATGAGGTAGAGCATTAGCAGGACGTGAAGCTTCATAAGAACTCCTAACCTCTTGATAGGCGCCTCACAATCAAAGTCATTAGCCAGTGTAATAAAGGGCCTGAGATACAGCCATTCTTCAACAGCCTAACTCTTTTATAACCAACAGATTAAAGTTGATTGGATTAAAATGACATTCTGCCCGTCTGACCTTGGCGGCAGCAGTTAAGTTCATCCAAATTAAATTTCTCCGTAATAAAGATGATTCATTTGTTGCCTGACGTAGTAAATATAAAACAGAAAGAAAAAGGAGAAAAGATTAAGTGACACACGTCAGTGCTCAGAAGCACAAACGCACACTTTCACACGCTCACAAGGACACATGCACACAAAAGAATATACAGTACCCATGCTTGCATGTACACACACAACACTACTATAGCTGGCAAGTACCTGGGAGCACATGCAACAACACAGAGGCCAATTTGACTAAACCCTAAACACTCATGCATGAAATTCCTTCCTGTTGAAAACAATGAAAAATGCATCCTTAAAAAATGTTGATTCTTATTTTAAAATGAAAGACATCGGCTACCGGAATGATCATGTCACCTGACGATGTTGATCATTGCCAATGCTGCCTCATTGATTGTTACATGGACATATTACAAGGAATTTACCTGCACAATAAAAAACACAGTTTTAAATGCTGTAGTAAAATGAATATTCTAATCTCTCTCTCTCTCTCTCCCTCTTTCTCTCTCTCTAAAAGGCTAGGACTGGCCATTGCTGATACAAACAAATCAGAATCTTTACAAAGGGGTAAAGGACAAACTGAGTGCTGTATGTGTATTTGTGTCTGGAATTATGCCTGCCTTATGTTTGTGCCTACATGTGCTACTGTAATGTGTTCGTGTTTATCCTGACCTGCTTTGTGAGTGTGTCCACCTGCTCCTGAAGATAGTCCACTTTTTGCTGGCTCTCCCTCAGTAGATTCTGATTGGCCTGGAGCTCATCCGTCAACTGGTCAAGAGCCTCCTGCGAGTTCTCCCATTGGCCAACCTTTTCCCGGTACCGCTGCACCATCTCAGCTAGCTCTTCCTTCACCAAATGAGTTGATAATTGGGACTCTCTTAGCTGCCCATCAAACATAGTGAATAAGTGTTGGGACCTCTCTTTATGGGAAAGAAAGTAGTGGCCTGCATATAACTCTAAAAGCCTTGAACAAAAAAACAGTAATAAAACTCACACAAAGTCACACAATGTGTGTCTGTGCAGAGATAGATTTACAACTGTGTTATTGTAACCTGAGCTTCACTGTTGTGATTTCTGTGGGAAATAACGGACAGCCACGTCCTATTGGTTGCTGTGTGCTTTTGTGCCTAGTACGTTTAACTTTTGTGTCATTACCCCGCTGCTGGGCCTTTACTTACTTACGTGTGAAGCCAATAACTGCGCTTTATCAATAACAAAGTCCAGCGAAGGTAAGTTTGCTGCTGGTTCCTGTGTGAGAAAGTGGTAATTATTGTGTATATTTACTTGTGTTAGTTGCTGCCACTGTATGCAGAGCCAATAACTAAATATTTTCAAGACCAAATTCCAGGATGGCTGCTGAATGCAATTTCGCTCGTGACAGTGCGTCCTCCATTTTGGTTCCTAGCTCTTTGCTTAAGCTTTGCTGGCCTGGCCACCATTCTGGATCACTGCGTGAGCAGCCACCTAAATGGTTGTGTTTGCTATCTTCCTCTCTCTCCCCATCTGTTGTCCTACACACACCTACATCATATACTTGCTGATTGTTGTATGTTTTTATTGTGCTTAGAGTAGATATTGGTGGTTTACTGGCTGAAGATTTTGATCACTGATCTGTACTAAAATTAAATAAATCACATTGTACCTATTCTACCCTGTATTTATTAATCTTTATTAATATTACTAAATAACTTTGATACTTGCTAATAACCAAACCTGCCCCTACCAGATTACAAAATTAGGTAATGGCAAACTCACAGGACTGCAAACATGTATAATAATATATATGTATAATAGATATAAACCTGATGAAATCTCTTTAGAGGCACTGAGAAAGCAATATGCAATAATGGTAATACACTGCTTTAGTGTAAATTAAGACCTACCTGTTGCTGTGAATACTGTAGTTCCTCTTCAAGAAGTTCCACCTGCCCTTGCACCCTATGCACCTTCTCTAGTGCTGCTGTGTACTTTAGTTTAAAAATTGCTACAGTTTCTTTCTGCTCCTGGGCTTGTGAACTGGCATCTTTCAGTTCCTCCTTGGCTCCTATAAGCTGCTGTTGAAGAAGCTCCATCTCAACCTCCTGCTTCTTTAGCTTCCCTTCAAATGTCTCGACCTGTCTCGAAGCAAACATAACCAAATGAAGCACAAATGTTGAAGAGAATAAACCTTTGCATCTTTATTTAAGTGGAACAAATGTAGCCTGAAGGTTTAGTAGTGACCAAAACAGTGTTAAATGTTAATGGAGAGTGGAGTTTTGACTCCCCTCATGTATAGGAGCTCTCGAGAAAACGTACAGTACAGCTGCTAAGTGTGAAAGTGTGGGGTGTTACCTACTGACTGTGTTATAAGTAACTGATGAATGAAGTAGAAGGAAGCCTTAATGTATGCACAGTGCATACATTTAGACTTACCATAATACAAAATCAAACAGTGAAACAGGATACTTGACATGATGCTTCATTGTGACTAAATGTACCTTAAAAAAATAGAAAAATGGACGTATGCTAGTTTGTCTAACGTGGTATAATATACTGTGCTGCTCTACAGTAACCTCACTCATAATGAAAGGGGAACCCAGGAAGTGAAACCAGGCTTAATCCCAGTGTTACACAAGGAATCCTACCGTAGCTCACCTTTCAACCGGAGAGGTTGAGAAAGTTAAACCCGCTCTAACACTCATCTTGAGTTCATCCACGTTAATCCCGCTGTAATCTGGATCAGAACATGAGGGTTTACAGCTAATGACAGCCAACTAGTTAGATTTCAGTGGTTCACTGCAGCTTGGTTTAACCAGGGATTAGCTGGGCCCATCTAGGACTAACACCCGGTAGGAGGCAGCATGACTGAGTAGAAAACTTGTTCACGCAAAGGAAGAAAGAGGCACAAACCAGAAGAGAGGATGGAGGAGAACCAACTTCCATTCTCTACTTTAGAGTCAAAAACTGATCATCCTGTGTAGGTGTATGTGCATGTGTGTGTACTGTTTATAACCATTGACTCATGACCCATGTACACTCGATTTTATTCAAGTGTGATGGCGAATATTTTACCTAAGGTTATCCACCGTTAACACACACAATATAAACTAAGGTGTCATATGACACCTTTACCCATTATAACTGTATATTATGTTACTAGCTCTCTGTCATAGTATCTCTTTTCCTGTAATGTATTCACTATCCCACAGTCCAAACACTAATGGTGGATTTAGCATTTCTGTCCGCCGCTGGATGAAAGGCCTTCTAACGAGGCTTAATGGGAACACCATGGCTTTCTTGTGACCATAATCAGGAGCTTGTGCTTTGGGGAAACAAACAACCCTCATTAGATATGATGGAAAACACATCGCTTTGACCCTCATTTGGCCTGCCATTTCAGTATTCGTGGCTGTCACATGACTACCCAAGTCAACCCTTGGTTGATAATAACATTATTCTCCTATTCTTTTTTGGGGGGGTTTTGATCTCTTGATGAATCTTCCCCTCTCTGTATTCATGTTTGTGTCCAATTGGATGAGAAAGGTTGACAAACAAAGGGGCCATTTTGTCTTTGTTTGTTCATTCAGATGACGTGAATGGGGATATATGTAAGTTGACAAAGTAAAGCTTGTCTGCTGCAAACCGGTCAGTTTGTTGCAGAAGACTCTGTGATTTACATCACTCACACTCAGCATCTGTTTTTTCTCTTTATGTTGTCCACTGGATTAACACTATAGATTGTTTAGCTGTATGATCTTGGTTCAACCAAATGACAACTGAACATACAAAATACTCTCACTCTTATCTACGGCTAAGTGCTGCTGACGTAAACTGTCCTTGGTGACCTCTGACTCTCGATCCTTCAGGCTGCTCTGTATTCGGCTGAGCTCAGAATTGTTCTGCTTCAATCGTCTGTGAAGCGGGACACTCCTCTGGCTCCAGCGTTCCGCATCAGTCTTGTGAGCCTGTTTCACAGCTTCCAGGTCAGAGTTCAGCTGATCTATAGATTTCACCAGATATTTCACCTGTAGGGGAGTTGCAGATGCAAAGAGGTGAAGAGGAGGGGACAGAATTCTTCCTTACCTGTTGCTGACTAATACAGAGCTGATCGCGAAGCTGCTGTTGTTCTTTCTCCTTCTGGTCTTTAAGGTGCTCAATATCTCTGACCTTTTCGCTTAAGTGACAGGCCTCTTCCTGGTGTCCCCTGACCTTGTGTTTCAAGTTTCTTACATCACCCTCCAGCGCTGCCATCTGGGCAAGAAGAAAGAGAAAGAGAAGGAAGCTGAAGAGAATGGAAATGGATAACGTTATGTAGGCATACAAAGCACACACAGACAGAAAAGACAGCGAGGGGGCGGCAGTAGTCTAAAAGTGAGGGAATCAGGCTTGAGTCAGAGAGTTTCCCAGTTTAGTCTCAGGACCAGCTGGGAAAATGTGGGCACAGCAGACATGAATGAGTAACGATTCCCCTTTCCTTAGCTCAAACTTTCGAGGAGCCTTTGAGCAAGGTGCTACGCCTCTCACTGCTGTAATGGAGCTGCTCAGTAGCCAACAGTAGAAGACTGTTGCAGGTTTGGGCAGTTCCCTCGAGTGGATGTGTACAACTCTGTGGGTGTAAAACAGGTCATTGTTGGGAAAAAAACAAAACACAAGGGTGCTCACTCAACCTAGCCTCAGCATATGAAAGGAAAAACCAAAAAATAGTAAGACAGGTTTAAAACCCTTGCAGTACCACCTAGAATTGAATTTAAGCCTTGAGACAAATTTAAAAACCAAAAAACAGAAACTAACCAGAAAAACCCAAACTACTTCTCATGGAACACAGCTAGAAGTGTGATCTTTTATAAACTGTACTTTGTTCAGAAATGTCTGTCAGAGTTGCAATATTATAACCAGAAAATAAACTTAATTCACACACGGATAATCAGAAAACAGATTATAAGAAATGCAATCAGAAAGCCCTGATTAGGACATAAATAGATATAAGTGATAGGAAAATCAACATACAATCACAAACAAGCTACCACACCTGCTCCTGTGTCCTTTTATGCTTTTGTTCAGCTGTCTTCATTTCTGCTCTTAACTGCAGAATTAACTGATCTCTGCTTCGAACCTAAACACAAAGCAAATTCCATTAAATTGCATTTGATGTTGTTTTAGCCCATTGTGTTCCTTTGGTTAAATATTTGGTTAACAATGTGAACATGTGCACAAAGAGGCAGAGAGAGACGGACCTCCAGGTGTGAGGTGTGGAGTTTCTCATGGCTCAGAGCCAAGTCGGCCTCCAGTCTCTCTTTGGTCTGGTTGAGATGGACAAACTCTCTGCTCCGGTCCTCCATCTTGGCTCTCAGCACATCCCTCTCCTCACACTGTTTCTCCAAAGCCTCCTCTCTTCGGAGCAACTGGGAAATATGCAATAAAATCAAGCTTCTCAATCTGTGCTACAATCTCACACTACTTCACAACACTGACATTAGGACAGCAAAAAAAAAACCTCAATTAACCTTAACTAACTAAGTAAGTAATGAAATATTAATTTTAGGATCACAAAACCCACTTAACATTATCTAACATACAATACACGAAAAACATAATGAAATTGATTCTAATTTGGTTTTCATTATCAAACTAGAATAATAAAAGCCAGGCCTGATATGTTGAAATGGCATATGAACAAAACTGATAATTAGCTGGCTCGCCCGGTGGAAGTCTCTAGTGCGCTTGCTCTATGGGCCCCACATGCGGAAGCTATGCAGAAGATTTTTGGTAATTTTCTATGACGGAACTTTTTTGGCTTCATGCACCACTGAGCAACTTTCATAGGAATGAACCGGCCGTCACCTTCGATGCTGTATCCTGTTCTCTTCATATATCCATGGGATGGGTCAAACAAACACAGGACTTTCACCCGGGAGACTGCTGTCCGGGTCCCGTGTGAAAAGCAAAAGTCAACCTTGACTTATTTTAACATATGTATGTAATTTAACTTAACTGACATATCAAACATACTTACCTGCAGGACAATAAAGAGGAGTAAGGGATCAGCAGTCAGTGGCATTATAAAACATAGCAGTCAATAAAAGAAGTTTTTCAAAAAATATTGAATCACCGCAACCACCAGAGGTCCTTGAGCATACACTCATAAAAGTGCACAAAAAATATAGTGGTCCAGTAGTTTGCAAGATTAACCGCAGACAGATCTGCACACGCACAAACACACACACACACACACTCACACAGACACACACACGACCAAACACATGATCCCCTCCAGGCTTACGCCTTTGGAGATAATAAATATAACAGTAACTACATTTACAGTCAAATGTTCTTTTAACACAGTTAACATTAATACGAATCGCGAGCATTAAAATAATCAGTTTGGTGAATAATGAATACATTGTTTTTACCTCTTTCTGACATTCAGAGAGCTGCTTCTTACTCTCTGTGAGCTCCTTCACCAGTGCACACATCTTAATCTCCCACTTCTGAATCTGGAAAATAAAAACACATTTCTCATGGTTTAAGGATGTTGGACGAGGCTTTTATAATTGCTCTTTTTGATGATACTGTGACAAAGAAACATTATGTTAGGGATCATATCTCCATGAATCATTGGCAACACAAACTGTATCTCAGGAAACAGGGGAATTTAGGTCACTGTTTACAAAACTTGAGATTAAATATTCCAGTCCTGTTCTCCTATTTGTGTTTAAGGTAATGGTGGTAGTGGGTAGATGACGCAACGTACAGAGAAACGGTTGTTTATGCTTCTCCTGAGTATACAGTATGTCTGACAATCGCTTGTGTTTGTCTGTGTCCTTGGTGACCTTCCCTAATTACCCACAGTTTATTGCCAAATGTGTTCTTGTGTGTGCATGTCTGCACGCGCTTTCATGTGGGTGATTGCTTACAAGTTTGCCGGGGAAATGTTTTTGACTTCTTTATCTCTTCTGTCTGTTATCACAGAGTCTGCATCTTGTCAAGGTTTTCCTCTGTTTGAGGTCAGTCAAGATGGTCAGCTAACTGCCATTGTGTGCTGTCTATTTTGAGCCAAATAGGTTTCTTTCATTTAAGCTTGAATGTTGAAATGACAAACTCCAAAAAAGTATGGACTGTAAAATATAGGTGAGTGAATTGTCTGTATATACTAAATAACATAGTGATAAGACCACATCCAAGTCTTCCTCCACAACATAAAAATAAAATAATACTGCACGTAAATGGAGAAAATGTTCTTTTAAGTCAAATTTGCACTGGATTACTGTATTACTGGTATGCACATTTGATGCAGACATACTGTAGTTTACACTTCCCATTTATATGTACACGTAACATTCCTTCATGCCAGATGAGTTAAATGCTTGCTCCCTCTTTCTCAATCCCTCCCCACCTCCTGTCCATCCTGCATGATCCAGGGATTGTTTTGACCGGAGTTGAGGGCTCGTTTGTAACTGTCCAGGGGGATTGATGGAGTTAACTTGGCTCTTTGACCTCTTACCTCTGGCTGTCAGCGGCCAGGCTCGCTGAACACACTAAACCTGAGCTACGGCAAGGGGAGGAAGAAAAAACAAAAACGCTGCATACACACTGCCATATATGTAGCAGCTAAATCACAAATGAGCGCTCAAGTAAACACTTGCAGACTCACACAAATAAGTACCCTGGACAGGAATAATACAGGTGGTGTTTTGCATTCCATGGACATCAGATAAAATAGAACAAACGGATTTGTTTGCGCACACACAAAAAACACACAAAAAAAATGACCGGAACATTTATTCATGCTACAAATGCAAGTCATTCTACTTACCCATAGCAAATACAACACTTACTTCCTGCCAATTTTTAAATCTTACCTTGATTCATCTTTGAGTGTGTGCGTGAATTCCCAATGTGAGCATGTGATAGGCAGAATGGATGTTGATAAACACCGGAGGATGTCGTGTCAAAACAGACAACTTGTCAAAACGCAACGCTAACTAGGTCAATCACAAAGTTTAAGGAGAAACTTTGGAGTGGAGCTTTGGTTTATGCATATCTCCGTGTGGATGTCTATGTGTGTGTGTGTGATAAGCTTCTGAACGAATCTGCGGGAGGGGACCTCCAATATCGAAGGTATTTTTAAATCAATGAGCTCTTAAGTGTATCTCAGTCTCAATGTGTTCACAGATACGCGCACACACTCAGCGCAAGATAGAATCCCTACTGACAGGCAATGACAAGATAAAGAGAGGGAGAAAAAGGGGGGAGAGGACGACAGGAGGGGGGAGAAATAATATTTGAACTGTTGGGGGTGGGGGGTGGCGAGGGGGGGTGGGGGGGATGAAAGGGAGAAGTGGCAAGGCAAGAAAAGAAAAGAGCAATAAGTGAGATCAAGACAAAAAGCAGGGAGAGAGAAAACTCTGTAAGCTGTTCTGATGGTTGTAAAGCATCGTGAGCAGGACCAATGTTTGTCCAAGTCCAACCTTGAAGGTGTGAACAACCTTCCACAATACTGCTCACCTTCCATTGTACCGCTCCTTCTGTCTCCTTTCAATCTTGCTTGCTTTCTCACTCCCCCAAGCCCACCCTTGTCCATTTCAAATAATACGCAATTGAAATTCTTTTATCCAATGCGATTTATAGAAGAACTATGAGTGCATTCTTTTTAAACTGAAGTCCCATTGAGGAAGCCGGAGGTAAACTACGCCGGACTGTAAAGTCATTGGACATTACACAAACAAATTCAAAAAATTCACAGATTTAGATTTCACGCTGCAACTGATAAGCACATATATTGGAAATCAGTAACACAATGAGCTCTCCTGCTACAAAACATCCAGTATTTTTTTATTCTCTTGTGCACAATTTTATTTGCTTCGAATGGTCTCCATGAGGATGTAAGTCAATGACCAGCTTCCACAAGTGTATTCAGAATCAAATATTTAAAAAAGGATTGCAATGGTTTTAGAGAGACCAATCACGAATCGACGACCTTAATCTTCACATGTTAATGCTGTTTTGGAGTGAAAAAGCTGTTCAACCTCCCCAAACAAATTTAAGATGCAATGACAAGATTGTGGGGCTGTAACTGTCCTAAATCTCCCCACATCCTGCATTTCCTCTTCCCTTTTCAATATTTCTCTCCTATAATATTTTCTCCCTCCTGTGTACCTTTATGACCTGAACATTCAAAAGAGGAGCCGCCAGGGAACAGTGCGGGTGACTTTCAGTTCTGAGAAGATGAAGTATTTTGGAGACAAAGCCCCTTGTCATGTTAATGTTTTCACTTCTTTCAAGTTCCTCAATGGGGGATTCTGGAACAGTATAACACTTTAACCACATGTTAAAACTACAGCAGCATCTGGCCATTTGCATAGTGATGTGTGTGAGTTGGTGAGATGGAGGGAACTACTAATAGAGATGGAGAACAGTTAAAAAGGGATACAGACAAATAAAGGATAAGGGATTAAAAAGACATTAAGGAGGATTTTATGCTTAAATGTAATTTTTTCTTTGCAAAACATCTGCTTTTATTTAATGAATTTCTGATTATAACTGGACTGTAGATGTTCTGAATTTCAAAATCAGAGTCTGGTCTAGTAATATTTTAGATGGTCCTATCAGGTAAGCTATCAAATCATAACCCAAAAAAAACTGCAGAGCCATGTTTTCATTGATTTGTAAAATATAATAAGAAACTAAAGAATTTGATAAAATTCTTTCATAATACTTCCATCAGTAAAGTACACATTGCATCATAAAATATCTATGTTTGAATGTACCGGTGTTCATATAAATTTCAGGTGTCCATCCTATCTGAGCCTATATGGGAAAAAAATATTTACCACTGATTAGACAAATGTTGTCAAGTAGACCCTTACAGAATTAATCTTATGAATAAAGAAATGTCAACCCATGTGCAAAGATACAGCTGTTGAGTGATCAAGTGGCTGGCCTCTATAATCCCCAGGACTCAAGTCAGACCAGTGCTTCCTCTCCACTCCTCTACTCCCCAGCAGTTTCAGTGAGTGGACAACTCATTCGCTACAGAAAAGGAAAACGGCTTTCCTATTCTTCTGAGCAAAGAAGTCTTAAGTGAGAGAGGGAGAGAGTAACAGGGAGAGTGAATCAGCAGAGCACATTTCAGATGAAGGAGAGAGTGTTGACAGTATTTGTTCAGCTGTGCTAATGTTAGGACATTTAGAGCTGCAGAGGAAAATACTTAACACAAAGTTCTCTCAGTTTCACTTATATTCAAGTGGGAGCAGGCAGACTCCTTCTCTTTTACACACACCAACACTGTCCATACAGTGAAGGAATGAAGTGTGCATGAGTGAAAGCATAACGTGTGCAGAAGTGTGTATCCATATGTGGGCGTGTGTGTGCGAGGGAAAGAGAGCTTGTAATAGATCAGAGAAAGAACAGTTTTGGTGCATAAAGCAGGGCCAGATGTGGAGCAGAAACCAGATCCCTAGACAGAGTGTAATGGTCCGTCCATTGACTTAACCAATCCAAACATGAAAAACAAAACCTCACACACAGATTTACTCATTTGACCGATGTCTCACAGTTGTATAGCATTTGATATTAGCTCATCCTAAAAGACTTGTTAAATCCCACAGTTTGCGTCCTTCCTGCATAAGGACAACTGAATGAATGTTCACTCCACCACGCCACACCAGAGTGAATTACAAGAGGTCAAAAATATGCTCTAAAAGTTTAATTAAAATATGTTGTCATATAACATGAGCCATAGAGCTGGTGGACTTTAAATGTACACTGGGAGACTGTTGTAACAATAACCTCGGTGACAGCCAACAGAATACTGACTTTAACCCTAACCTCAAAAATATTTAGAAACGTGTATTATCAGTGTAGAGGCTTGCCAGTAAAAAGGACTGAACATCGTGTGCTGCTTCCTTTTTTGACAAATGCAAGCCATTGAAATTCACCAGTGGCTTAGTGAAAAGAATCTTTCCAACCTGGTTAACTGAAGGTTATATGCAAACCACTAAACACTAACATATGCTTTTGGTATATCACAGAAAGAACAGAGGACAGAGGAAAGCGTCTTAAGCAATACAGCATATAGGGTTGAGTTTTTCTGTAGTCCTGGCTGGAACACAAATACCATTTTGGAAGACTAATCCAAATTTTTGTAAAGTCCGTCTTCGTCAAAAGTATGTGTTTTAAATAAGGTTCTAAATATCAGAACATCCCATTACCCATTATCTAAAACCTTATTATCAGCACCATTGTAGGAATAGACAATGCCTGTCACAGTGAATATTACATTTGAAAATTGAATATTTAAATGAATCCCTCACCTGAGCGACCCTTCTTATCAGCCCCATTGTGGAGAAAGACAATGCATTACATTAATGTGACTATTACATTTCATCCTCATCCTGTTGAAATTGCGAATTTCCTGTTTAACCATTTTTCCTGACACTGTCCACTTTGTGTAGAAAATGTTTCTTGACCTTGTGAGCAGTCGAACCCGCTGACAATGCATCAGTGTCAACAATACATGGCCACCAAGAGGGGAGTCAAATGCTTGTGTCAGTTCAAGTGTTAAAATACAATGGCAAAGATGGACAAGCAAGGTTTTGCAGGAACTTATAATTTAATATTTAAATGAAGGAAGAAATCAATTACCTTCTTTTCAGTGGTGCACCGCGCATGTGTCAGCTCCAACTGCAGTCGCTCCATCTCTTTGTTGGCATGGTGCAACTGGTCCTGGATCTGCTGCCTCTGCTGTCTTTCTGTGCTCAGGCTGGTTCTGGTCTGATCCAGGTTTTCACTGGTGTCACTCAACATGCACTCACTTGTTTGTAACTGGGGTGATGAGCAGAGATAGAGAGAAGAGTAGAGAGGAGAAGAATAAGTACAGTATGTCTGGTTTGAACCTTCTCCAAAGGCTGAGAGAGGGACAGTGAAAGGCAGGCAGCTGTAGAGACAGCTGAGGAGGAGAGGCACACATGGAGAAGAATGGGTGACGCGTTACAACAAGATACAAGTGGTAGAAGACGGAGATGACAATTTAAGTACGTTTGCCTCCGCTCTGTCTCCATAGCAGTGAAAAGGAACATCATAAAGGCTTTGTGCCAGGCTGGGGAACCTTCAGTTACTGCTTTGACTCAGGACCAATAAAACTGCTTGACTGAACATCATAAAGTCGTAGGACACTAACTGTAGACTAGTGCTTCTTAAACCTTGGGACAAGGCTCGCAGAGAGCTGCGGCCCTTTTTCTATCTGCTCCCCATCAGACAAACAATTCTTTTATCAACATGGGTTCTTTGAAAACACCACATTTCTAGATTTTTAGCTGGGCTCCTACACTGTTCTATGTACACAAAAATAATGGTCTCATGTACACATACCCCTGGAACAGCTGACAGACACCATTTCCAGATGGGAACTGGTGGAGGTATTCAAAATATCTGAGTCACTATTAATACTTAGGCTGTAAAAGTATAAATAGTAGTATTACGTCAATAATCATTCAGTGCATCTTGTCTGCTCTATACTGTATGTGAGCTAGTGTTTAGTTGTGTCCTTTAGCTTCAAGTTAATTGTGCACTCACTGGTATTAACTATATTGTGTAACTCCTTGTGTTATCAAATTAATTTTGTCACACCTGTGACAAGCATTTGAAGACATCATTGTTGAAATGATCACATTTAAACTGCTGCCTCCTCCAGAATACAAATGGTATCCATAAACTAACATGGAAATGAAGTTAGTGTTAGTGGGAATAAAGAGCATTTCAAGTGTTCCCTGAGTCAAGTAACTAACATGCTTTTATGTTCAATGTACTTTGTTTAGTTGGCTGGCAGGCACCTGCACCACTAAAACACTAGCAGCAGATGAATGACTTGGTTTGGTCAAGGACACAGTAAATGGGTTAATTTAAGCCTAAAACACATCACTGCCACGCGCCACTCTGATATACCTAGAGGAGCGAGCGGGGGAGGAAAAGAAGGAGAGAGAAAAATACAGTGGGAGAAAGAATGAGAAGAAGGAGAGGAAAAGGACAACGAGAGAAACCTAAAGGCCATTCCATTCGTCACACGCATGACTCTTTAATGTTCCCATACATTACAATTGGTTCTCATTGGGGCAAGGGCGAGAAACAGGGGCGATGAGAGAGAAAAAGAAAGACAAAAAAGGGAGAGATAAAGAAAGCAAGAAAGAATAATCTGAGGAAAAATAATGAATGAATGACGAAATGAAGAAACATTTTTAATAATTAACCCCTCCCCCACTCTTGGTCCCTCTCTTGGCTACGTGGTATTCATACGAACATGGTTCTTTATTGTACGACGAGCTAACCCTCTGCGGAGCTAAGATGGTGGCGATGAGTTATTAAATATGGAGAGAGGACGAGAGAGGGAAGGCACAGGAGGAGGGGAAGAAGGACGGATGATTAACTGTGAAGGAAGTAAAAAATGAGGAGAATTCCCCGATGTACCTGACTGGATTTGATTTAGAGAAGGTTGCCCAATTCTGTTCCTTATTTAAGAAGAGCTCCCCTCCTGTGTGCTGTGTTATGTGTGTGTGTGCGCGCGCGTGAGAAATAGTGTGTTACCTACTTTGCTCTGCAGTAAAGCCAGGCGTTCTTTGAGCTGTGTGTTGTCTTGGACCAGCTGTTGTGTGTGTTTCTCCTTTATAGCCAAGGTTCCCTTCAGAGAGTCCTGTGTGGCTCGCAGAATAACCGCATCCTGGTCCAGATGCCTCACATGCTCCTCGCTCGCTTTTATCTAACACACACACACAACACAACACAACACAATGGTCTGTACATACACATATACGACTATACTATTACTATTATACGACTATTCATTTTCTTTTTCAAATGTTTTTTCTTGTACGCATTTAAAATCATTGGATAAGTAAGAAAATCTCATGTGCCAAATAGTCTCTTGTGGGTACCAGATCTCTGGAGTACCAGTTTTAACGGATCACTGGGGAAAGTCTGTCCAAAAATGTTGTTAAAGATAATTGAAAGTGACAGCTTTATCATGTTTTGTGCGAGGTCCATTAGTGTTTGATATTTTGTTTGACAAACGTCCAAACTCTAGCCTAACCATTGTTTTTTGAAATGTATAATAATATGTAAAACTGACACGTCAATACTTTTATCTTCAACCTCCATCCTTTTTCAGTGAAGCAGAATAAAACATTATTTATGTCTAATAAAAACTAAAACAAAATAAATGTTGCTGTTTATATGCTCTGGTAATTATTGGGGGAAAGAGTCTGATTATTTCTAAGGAAGCAGACAGTGGTTGAACTCCTCACCCCAATGCATGAACGTGAGTGTGTGTGGGTCGGTGGTTCAGAACCCCTCGCCAAATCAAAGCCCCTATTCATTAGCACTGTGTTAAATGAGCCCTGTGTTAGATTAGTAAGGAGGCTCCGCAGACAGTCAACACACAAACAAACACACAACACATTTACATAGACACACGCATGCACACTTCTGTATGCACGTGTGCGCACAAATACACACCCTCACATATCAAACTGGATGGTTAAGATTTATGAGACACAAAGACCACATTTGGATATAACCAAACACACACACACACACACACAGTAGGGATCTACAGTTCAGCTCCCTTCTTAACTTCTGATCTCTCTCAAGCTCTCTCGCCTCCCTTAACAGCAGACTCTGGACTTGTCTTGGCACTGACACGACCCACCTCTGCCTCCTTCAGTGAGCCCCCCAGACAATCCAGTATATATATCATCCAGCGTATTGTAACAGCGAGCTAAAGGTGGTCTTTTATGCAGTTAACTCATCTACAGCATGGCTAATGGATGGTAACAATTATAAGCAATGGGGCAGCCCGTATAGCGACTCTGAATTAAAATTACTCTTTTATCTGGATATTGCACCAATGTTAGTGTGACTATTGGGAAATAAAATAAGTTTTACAAAACTGAGACAATAATGTGTGAATTTCAGTGCTTCAGCCAAGTTCAACAATACATAAATGGGCAAAAGTTCGTCTTCTTTATGTAAACCCATCTAAAGTGCAAGAGGGATTTCAGATGAAGAACGATTATGAAGCAAAAGAGCACATTTTCTATGCATTTTAAATATTATTACCATCAATGTCGAACCAAGTTAGAGCCTGATATCTCCCAACATTCAGCTACTATACTTGACGACAGTTCGTGCTATTAAACACAAAGGATATTTCACATAATTTTGCAAACAACATAATATACAGCTTATGCAAATATTCAAGGAAAATATTTCTAATTGCCACTATCAACAATATATTATGAGGTTTTGAACACATGTGTGAAGATATACATTTACTTGAAGATGTATTTCAAAAATAAGCTTAATTAAGGTATTAGCAGAGTCTATTGTACTGCCATCTCTGCCAGTGCAAATACTCAAATGAAAGAAGGGCAACTTTGTGAGGACCAAACCTTCTCCAGCAAGATGACCTTTAGTGCTTTTGTTAAAAAACTAACTTCAGTTATTAAAAACCCACCCATCATTTACCAGTTCAGATATTAACATTCACAACAACCATGTCTACCATCAGTTCAACTTTCATGTGATTTGGTCTGTGACATTTAACAGGAGAATTATTTTCTTAGGTTTATGTGTTAATAGAACAGGACTGTACCTTGTGTGCGGTACTCTTCAGTTCTTTTTACATTTACAGTATGTTGCTCAACTGAAAGCTATGCAGGACGGGTGAGATGCATACACATTCACACAGGCTTAAAAGTAAACCCCAATCAGACATTTTTAATCAGTCAGTAACTTGTTGTCCTTTCAGGAAATTCTAATCATGTCTGTCTCTTCACTGGATGTGTCAGGTAAACAAAAAAATTAAATCCTTCATTGCTGCAGTATATTTTGTGGCCCTGATTCACATTTTAACAGAACATTCTTAACTTCGCGTTGGTATTTTATGAGAGGGTATTCAGCATATGTTATGTGAAAGGCATTTTGTAGAGAGCAGGGCCCAAGGAGAGTTTTCAAATACTCTGGTCAACTATTAGGCAGGTCTAACACTGTAACAATGCTGAATTACATATTTTGCATATGACTGGAGTACAGCCTCAGATATTGAGCATCAAGATTTTGACATCTCAGCTTTAAAACGTTGATCTACAGTATATGTATCTAAACTAAGATGTCAAATCAGGATTGATAAATTAACAAGGTTTAGGAAGCGAGTGATAGATTTCAACTACATGAGAAGACAAGCACATACAAGAGTAAATACAGAGAACAATGTGATAAATATTTTAAATACTGATTAGTCAGTGTCATCTTAATTAAAGATTTAATATTTGACTAACTAATCCCAGGAAGTGCATAAAAAAGCTAATGATTTGATGGCTGATGCTTCAGTGTGTGAGTGTTGCTACAGTGGCAGCCTGGATCCTGCCATGGCCAAGTTCCTGCAAGACCACAAACAGGGCAATGTACTATATATCTGGTAATTTAAGGGGTTTTGATTTTTCTGATTGGGAAAGGTATCTATGATATACAGTATTTTTTCGGGGTGAAAGTTAAATGTCTTGACTTTGATCACCAGTGTCACATCAAAAAGTGATAATCTGTAATCTGTAACATTTTGCAATGGTAATCTGCCATGTTCATATAAAAGTCACATAAATCTTGGAAAAATGCAGTTCTGTTACTTACTGGTCTGCAGATAGGGTAACTTAAATCTCATCTCATCTCATATTTGCTTATATTGTTGGTTGTAATTCTCAACTCAAATCATCAAATAGTATTTAGAATTTTCCACAATCCCACTGATGGTATGGTAACAGTGACCATACTGAGGGAACTATAACTGTCAAAATCCTTCCCATAGCTCAAGGTCTTTCCATCAATGACTTTCATAACTTCATAATATTGTTACATAATTAATACATTAAGGTGATATTCCTCATCTCCAAATCTGCCACCATCAGAGATGATTAAAGGTTCCCAGGTGGTATGTGTAAAGTCTTAATTCTCCAGTGGGGGAGTATAGGAGCTTCGAAGAAAGAATATCACATTTGTGATTTTATTTCAAATTAGAGCCTAAGCCTTGGACTTTCATATTAGTAGAGTCCCTATTGAGAGAGAAACCTCAATCTGATCAAGTCTCATTACTTTAGCAATTAAAGTTTCACCCCTGGGGTCCTCCCCTTAACTCCTGCCCCCCTGCCTCCTCCTGTCTCCTTTCCTTTATTCTCTCGTCCTAGCCATCATGTGTTTTTGCCACCAAGGCGGAGGAGAGGAGAGCAGCTTGCGCAAATCCTTGATTGGCCAAACTCTATCCTCCATCTAGGATTACGAATAGAAATGGAACATTTGAGGACAAAGGAAGGAGGGGTGAGATGGGAAGAGACAGAGAGAAAAAAAGAGGGAGATTGAGTGTGAGAGAGAGATGTGAGTTGCAGAGTTATGGGCACATAGAGGGAGAGAGGGTGGCTAATATAATTGAATTAAAAAGATGGAGCGGGGCCATTTCTAAGCAGGTGGGAGTGTGGAGTGAGAAAGAGCAGGCGAGATATTAACTTCTAATAAAAGAGAGATTAGAAAGTGGCTAGGAGGACTGCTCTGTCTTTACCTATGGGAGTGACGGCCCCCACATAACCTTTCACTGCAATATGCACACTGATATTGGCCGCCATATTCTCAGTATACCACACATAGGCATCCAAATGCATATACACAAGCATTCATATACGTACCTTTGTTTCTGCACGTTTGCACCCAACAGAAATGGACATACAGAATATATACACACATATATGGTGGAATTTGAGGAGCCACAAAAGCACACACGCACATGCACACATACACACGCACGCGCGTGCGCACACAGACACACACACACACACACACACACACACACACACACACACGAGTGCAGTGTGACAGCAATGCATTATCAGCTCTTATTCAATGATCCAACAGGCGGCAGCCATCAGATAATGAAGAAGCAGCTCTTTGGGAAGCTGCTGCTATACAGACAATTAATTAACTAATTGGTCTAACAAGCTCGTTAAAGCCACGCTTTTTTTGGCAGCCAGTGTGAATACATTAACAAGGCTAATTCAATTAACCAGGTGCAGATTTCACAGCTGCCTCTCTCATGGCCACACACACACACACACACACACACGTACACACAATTCCTACAGGTGTTGTGTACATGTTCGCTTCATTTGACTCTGATGTCTTTCTCAGCGAAACCTTGGCATAATGGTATGCAGATCAAGTGGCGTATACCTGCGTCTTTGTGCATGTATTTTTGTCAGTTTTTCTGCCTCAATGGGATGGTGCACCTTTGAATCAAAAGTGCAACTCAATAAGCTCTAGCAGCATAAGTAATCTGTAAAATTGAAAGGGTAAAAACTAAGTGGGTGGAAAAAGTGACTGAAGCACTATGATAGGATAGTTAAATTAGCTAACAGAATCCCAGGGGTAAACCAATTTTAGCCAAAAGCTTCACAATGCAATACAATTTTTAATTTGTTCCAAAGGTTTTCAGTAAAAAAAAAAAGAGTACTAAGTTTGTCTTTGTCTTTGTCTTTGTCTACTGGTCCCAGTACTTGGCAGTCAACATTCATAAACATATTATTATTGGGTAAGCAGGCAGCAATAATTATTTTGCCATTCTAACAAGGACACATTCATTTTTTAGAATTTGTAACATGGCAACATAAAATCACATCTAAATTTTATACACAACAAAAGTATTTGAAGCATTTGCTTAAGGACACTTGCAATCTTACCTTTTGTCTCGCTGCATTCAGCTCTTCAGTTAGTTGGTTCATCCTCGCCTCTGTCTCCTCCATCCTTCTATCAAATAAGGCGCTGAGCTCGCCCCTCAAAGACACCATTTTGGCCTCGGCCTGGAACACATAGTCAGTGGCTCATGTTCATTCACTGTTACAGACTGCAGACAAAGCTGTGTCAGTTTCGGCCGGCTCACTTTTGTGCTTCTGTATTGTCTTCCCGCAAAGATTCTCTATTGTTAAAATTGACAAAGAATCTGTTATGAGGAACACTGTGTGGAATTATCCTCAGGAAGACAAAATCTCAATAAAGTGGCAAGAAATTTCAAACACATCACGCTGAGACTGTTACCATGATATGATTTTCTTACTCTGCACACACACAACAGACAGTACAAATATTACTCATACATGTTAGGATGGAGAGTATGCACTCAGCTTATACCAACTGTACATACAGGCATAAAGTATGCATAAATCTACACATGCACGCTTATACACAAACAAATATAAAGATAGCAGAGTGGGACTTTTGATGACAGTGCTTGTCTAAAGGTGAAGGGCTTGTAAGTTTGATGTGTGATCTCTGTGTGAGTGTGTGTGAGTGTGTGTGTGTGTGTGTGTGGACGTGTATGTGCATGGTGATTTGGTGGGTGTGGTTTGTTATGGCAGCAACTACAGTGGAAGCTCCCTCATAGGCTGATAAAGAGCTGAGGTCGGTGGTTAGCTAAACTCCCATGGAGATGATACCACTGATTAATTTCCTCCGTCCTCATTGCCTTTTCCCCCTCCCCCATCCATAGGTCCGCCTGTCCCTTCCCCCAGCCCCTTCAGCCACTGCTGAATATTAAATCAGCCCCCTTTTTTAATTTCCAGATAACCACAGTTCATTTTTCTCAAAGTGTCATATAGCCATGACATAGTGTAGCAGCCTATATATTAGGAATGGCTGATGTGAGTTATTGTTATCTTTTTTCCATTGACTGCCTTTGTGTCCCACTGTACACTACGCATGGCTAAATCATTAGCTGCATATGTGGTACAAATATCGAACAACACCATATGTAATTTGCAATGAAATTTCCTATCTTGACAGTTAGACATGCCCATGTTGCCATGTTAAGAGCCAAAAAGCAACAAACATCTCTGTTTCACCATACCATAAATTTTGCCTGTGGTGTTTGTTTTCTGCTGGTTAATAATGAAGTCTGAGTTTGAGTGTATGTTTGTACATGTTGGCCAGGGAGAAGGAGAAGAGAGGTGAATCTATACTGCTGTAGGGTATTTTCTAATTATTTTTCCCACTGAGCTCTACCACTTAGAGGCTGATGATAAAGAGGTAACTGACACACAGCGACAAAACAGACAGTTTGTACAATGTATATATAAATATATATATAACATTGTGTTTGTACTCTATGGGCAAATACTCTCTCAGCCATTAATGTGTGCACACATGTGAACACAGACACACACAGACCGACACACACCACGGGTGTCATCACTCAATGTCCCAGCTGCAAATGAAATTTCATTCTCTCTAACAATTTGAGTAGCCCATTCTGAAATATCTCTCTGCCTGCTGCCTCCCTACCCCCCTACTTCTGGGTCTTCACTAAATCACACCCTATTTTTTTCATTGCCAATCTGCACACCCTTTACTTTATCCTTTATTCAAACCACACGCTGACCAAAAACCATCACATGCGCAAACTGTGCCCGCTCATTTGTGTTTTTGTCAGTGTGATTAAATATTTATTAACCCTTGAATTTGCACACAAGTTAACACTTTGCTATCCTATCACTAGGCTCTGTCCTACAACAGCTGCTCTCGGGTTTTAGCTTTTCCTCTCTTGCATTGTTGTGGCTTCCTATCATCATATTACTCCACATCACCTGCTTGCATAGCCTGGAACCTCGCCCAGGAAACTGGAGAAGTGGGAAGTGATTTGGAAAAATGAGGGCAATAAAAAAGAAACACAGGGATGAATGGAGAGATGTGATATAAGGTAATATGCTAACCCAATCAGCAGGCTGCTGTTTGCCAACAGTATAATCAACATATTGGCTTAATGTTATTACAGCTATATGAGAAATAATATTGCGTGAAATGATATTGCGGGGCACGTGCATGGCTGAGTGTGCACTCGTGAACGAGCTCACGTGTCCAGATGTATGTATCACTTACCACTTTTGTGGCACAGACAGGCCAAAACATACACACACAGTGCTACAAAGATGCTAAATTCTGCATGCATGCACAGACTGCAAAGAATTGCGCTACTGATTGCTTACTCTATGATTAATATTGATTAGATTTGAAAAAAGTGGTATTATTTTACCCCTCTGACAATTTTAATTTGTTTTAAGATAAGATTTTAAGAAGTAAAACGAGATTTACTTGAATGGGTTATTGGTTAGTTCAGTTAAATTTAGATCATTTTCACTTTGCGTGCACGCATGCACACACACACAGACATCTGCATATATTCATAGGCACCGAGTGCCCACTGGCTCTGACACAAGAGGATATTACTTAGTGCGTGGCTTCCATATCCTGAATGCATAAGGCCGCTGATGGCCTCTATTGATGGACACTGCCGTGAAGCCATCACTCAAGTTATGGAGCTTTAATTGGAGACAGCATAAAACGATAAACCAAGAAACATGCATGGCTGAACAGCCCAATGTAAACCATTAATCATCGCACAGGCAAAGACAAGTAGCCGCCACATACAAGCATGCACACACACACAGACATATGCATACCGGCAAGAGGGTGCACACAGCTGCAGAAGCACACATACGCTGCCCTTGCACCACACACCTTGCATTTGTGTGCATATTTGCACACACACACACACACACACACACACGCGTGGCAGAGACAAGTGTCCCAGTCACATATTCTCATGATAGATGACCCATTTAACTTTGATTTCTGAGAGAAATGAGTTCACCAGCGATACGGGGTTACCCCAAACACACACACTCATTCATAGTACACACAGATATTATACATGAGCTACATATATGAACTCACAGTGTGCATTTGGTTTATATGTAAATAATAGCTTGAATTATTTTGCAGATACGTGTATTCATGCCGTCTCTCTTTCTCAAACACACACACACACACACACACACGCACACACACGCACACACAGCCACTTATTTGCATGAGAAGGGTTATAATATGGGGATGATTTGTGATGTAAGCAATCAGAAGTGAAGCAATTCATCAGTAGCTGCGTCTAACACACATCTCCACCAGTCATAAATACTAATCTACACACACGCACACGTACACCTGCTTGTAAAATCCGCACAATCCCACAGAGAAGACAATAAATCAGAAGAGCAAAAAGTTGGCATGGAGGCAAAAGTGTTAACAACACAAACTCACACAAATGTGCTCTCACACACATCACACCCTCTGCAAATACTTGGAATAAAATAAAAAACTGACAGACACATATGTTTTAGGAAAGTTGGATTCTATGTAGTCTTCTTCACGTCTGTAAAGCCTGGGAAACAAGTAGCAGGTGCTGTCAATATAAGTTTGTTATAAGATGTTTGTTACGCACACAGCGGCTGATGTACCTTGGTTAAAGTGTTTTTACAATGTGTCTTAATCTTTTTATATAAATATATCTGGCTTGACTTGACTTTGTTTTATTACTTGACTACTGGATGTTATGAACAGTGACTTGTGCAATTCGGCAGCTCCATCTCATCTAGCACTAACGCAGGGTTGGAAAAAATATGAAAAGAGGAGATAAAAGAAAGGCATGACCTGAAAATGATTAAGAGAGAAGACCATATTACCTATACAATATGTCTGTGGCTGCATCTAAGTAAAAAGCCATCTAAATCTAGGAAAGATACAGAACTAGGTAAGGATAAAGATTTGTTTATTAGATAGCAGTTGAAGTAGATAGAGATGTCATTGATTTAGAGAGAGGGTGCTGTGAGGAATTTCTTGAAAAGATGAAGTCTCACATTAAAAGGGAAGATAAGAAGTGACTGCTGCTCTGACTGGAGTAAGAAGGTCATCTTTCCAAAGGGAAGTGAGTAGAAGAGCTGAGAAAACTCAAGGTCTCTGTGTCAGTGGGTTAAACAACTCAGTAGGTTGACATGGAACAGGAGAACCGTACCGTTTCCCAATGTTTTTGTACAGAAGTGTGGCTGCTGCCAAGTACAAAAGCATTTCTGTTCCAGTTTTAGTCCCATGAGCAATTCATTGCTGCAAAGTGATAATGTTGTAATCCAGTCCTTTTCTTATTTGGTCGTTGATTGCAAACGCCCCACAACAAACTGCACCCCACCACCGCTACTGTCTGGTGACACATGAGACAGTGTTGATATTTAGACAGATGGATGGTGCATTAGAAGGATAAAAGCCTTCCAAATACACACCAACATGTACAACACGCGCACACACACGTTCCGTACAGCGGCTGCAGCCCCTCAGCGCTCCTCTGTCCTCACATGCTTGGTTTCCCCATCTAATTGCTGCCATTCGTCAGTGTGTGTATGTCTTTGTGCGCGCGTGTGTGTGTGTGCACGCGCGCGTGTGTGTGTGTGTGTATGCCAAGTGCTCCTATACTTTGTGTGTTTGTGTTTCTTTCATGATTCTGTCACTGTGCATTTACAAACAACTGGTGAAAAGAGAGAAAGTAACAGATAATCAGACAGACAGGTAAGAAAGGGACAGGAGAGAAAGACAGTAGACGCAGAGATACACACACACACACACACACACACAAACACTCACAGAACTGTCACAGTGCCATAGGGCATACTAAACCTGTCAGCATTTAAACCTGCTGGCTTGTACTCTGGCTTGCCAAGTGAAATTAGTCTCACATAATATGCCAGCCTCTTTATTGAAAACAACAAACACCTACTTTAGTTATACTATATAAATATATTGTTTTAAACACAAGCATAATCTTTTCACTTGGTACAAAAAATATGTGTATTTGTTAGTTAGGCGTTTTAGCCACTCTTCCCGCAGTGCAGATATTACGGACGTGATCGTGCGTACAGCAGGTAAAAGCAGTTATATATCAGGTAAAATAACCAGCAAGGAGAAAAAAAAAAGGAGAACAACC